TGATGCACTCTTGGCAGTGTTTTGTGTGTTTTCAGGGCGTAGCAACCTAGTGGACCACTTTCGACGTGTTGAGGGACATCATGACTCGACTACTAGGAGTCACAAGAGAAAAATGGAAAGACAAATACTAGGAGCCATAATCAGAAAATGGGGAGAAGATTATAACAACAATTAAAACAGTGGCTTAACCACTAAAACGGTGCATCAAGCGCGCCATTTTGAGAATCCAATAAAATTTTCTAGATTTTTCAAGGAATATGCCTTTCATGATGGCCAAGCTAGAAGAGACAGATGGGGAGCCAAAGATGCATCATTAGACCATCCTCTCTCTCACAACATCCTAATAGAAAGTCTATAAATAAACCTCTAGGGGGAGGAGTTTTGTAGCTAGTGATAGGAGGCACGAAAAGGTCGTTACTTTGCATATATAGTGACTCACCTAACTTAGAGCGACACCGATCACTAGAGGGAAATTGGTGCTAGATCGGAGGCTTGTCCTCGAAATCTCTATTTGGGGCACCGAATTTAGAGACTCCTTGGGATCTTCAATTTGACGGATTAATTGCATGGATCTTGCTGCCAAGACTGGCTAGTTCCATTAGTGGCATAGGTTTGCGAACTCTAGAGGTTATTGATGTTGTATTTTTTATTTTTGCATATATATGATGTACTTTTTTCTTCCTATCATTCATGTTTGATTCTTTCATGTTATCTTTTGTTGAATTGAATGATTTCCTAAGTTGAGCTTGAATTCCTTCGTGGTGCAAGCATCAAAACCCTAGTCGCATAGAACAAGACCGCACACGACATTTCTATACGATCGATCATCATTCGATCAAATAGCGTGACATCTCAGGGGAAACATCTCCATGGTCCTTGTTGCCTATTAGATAGAGGCAGGAAGCCTCAACACAATGTAGGATCAGGTTACATAAGATCAAACAACTCATATATTTTCAGGATCCAGATATGAGTCAAGGAACTCTAGGGAGAGCTTGCATGTGCAATGCCTCATCCTCCTGCTTCCTCCTACTCACATTAGTTTTATTTTTACTAACATTGCTTTCCTTTTAGTTTATATAAAACTAAAGGGAACTTCAACCCCGGGTGAACCTCAACCTCCACATTCATTTTAGAACACCATAAAACTCCTCACTCGCCAATTGAGTAAGTGGTTGTACGAGACCCTAGAAAAATATGATCCTCACATTAGGACTAGGTAATTTTACCACGCTCACAATGACGGATTGATACGGGCCCAATTGTACACTTTTTATCCCCATTTCTCTTTGACGTTTGTAACAATTGAGCTAAAAAAGATTATTGGTCTAGGGATTGGGAGTTTGCTGGATTCATTTGAGCAGATAACACACAAACAACGAAACAAATCAAAGTGACAGTAAGTCATTAGTGTGTTGTTTATGCACCCTCTTATATAATTTCATGGTCGGTTGCTAACTTCAATTTAGATCACAGCTGTGTAGTTTCGATTTTGAGTTGTCTCTGTCTAATTTGCATCTAAAATTTCAGTCAATTTTAACATTGCAGACTCGCGTGCATAAATTACATCTAATGCTGGAGTTGTTGAGGTCGTTGTTGGCAAGCTAATGGAACTAGACCAGCAGACTTGGTTAGAATATTAAGAATAAAAGACAATGCTTTTTATGATTATGTTGGAATATTTATGCTAATTAGCATTTAGCCATGTAATCAAAATTTTCTTTGATCATGAATGATGATATGAATGATGGAATATTAATGTGAAAGTGTATATTATTGATTTGGCTTTTATTGAATTTTAGGTTCTGGATTTGTTTTAGCGACCAGATTATTTGCAACCATATAGCCACTAGTCATGGTGGTTCTCTTTAGCGACGGTTTTGAGATCCTTTAGCGACAATATGAGTTTGTTGCAATTGATTTAGCCACGAATAAAGCAGGGGTTTTAACCCTTGGCATTTTTGGTAAATTTTAGTAAAAATATTACTAGGGGTTTTAACCCTTGCTATGGACATCTCGTGGTTGGAGTTTACATTGACGCGTAGCAAGGGTTTTAACCCTTGATTCATGTAGCAGGGGTTGTAACCCCTGCTACAACCCTTGGATGGGACTTCCACCGTGGGTTGCTCAAAACCCTTGCTACACATAGCACGGGCAGCATTGGCGAGGGTTCATGCAGGGGTTAATAAAACCCTTGCTACAACTTGTAGCAGGGGTTAAAACCCTTGCTACAGGTTGGAAAAACCCTTGCCATAGACCATTTTTTTTGTAGTGTGCGTTCTTGGCAAATTTAAGCAAAGGAAAAAGAATTAAAGGATTGTTGAATGCTTCAAGTGTGTGTATACTTGTTGTATTTGCTATGAGTGGGCATTGGTGGGAAAATTAGGTGATTTTCATAGCTAGAATATGGCGCCCACCAAGTCTTCGATGATATACCCAAATGACATTATGCTTAAAATTGAACTACCAATGGTTAATATTTGAAATCTAATGCCTATGGTTAAACCCTCGAAGGATTTAGATGGTGCAATTGTATGTTTAAATGATTGTTTAATGATGATATGGAACTTGTGCTCGACCGAGTATGTACTTTGATATGATTTTAAACTTATTGTTCCATACCATCTCAATCGTCATTTAGGCTTTTTCTCTTCATCGATGTCCATGGAGGAAGAATTCAATACATAGTTATGCAAGTCTACGAGTGGCAGATTATTCATCATGTCATCTCCCATTGTATTGATGGTAGATACGGGAGACAGGGACCTTCTCCAAGTGTGATAACCGACTCATCTACACTATGATGGGGAAGTCAACCTTCACTTTAGCTTGGCAATAAAACATAAGTAAAAAAAAAGAGATAGTAACACTAAAAATATCAAGTTGTGTACTTCAATTATTGTCTTGTTAAGTTTTCCATTATAGGTTAATAGAAAAAAAGTCAATTATGACACTGAAATTTTTCTACTAAGAAAAGAAAACATAAGTAAAAAAGAACAAATTAAAACTCCTCAACACCACTTTCTCATCTCCTTTTCCTCCTTTGTTCATCTTTGTTGCCTATTCGTCATAGTTTCAACATACTCCCCATTTTCTCTATTCAAATATGCTAATCCTTTTCTCCAGAATATTTTTCTTTCTTCCTCCTTTCAGATCTTCATTTGCTCCAACCCTATGACTTCTCTTTCTTCCCCTCTGCTTCCAAACAGATGAATTCTCCCTCCCATCTATCAGGTTGGCTAAGCATGGCAACCAAATTCATCCATTATCGTTGATCTGTGACTCGCTCCGACTATCACAATAAAATTCCACATAAGGCCTAAGTATAAGCCTTATATGGGTGCAATATAGGGCAAGTATGTTTAAATATCAACCGGGGCCGACCCATGTACCCCTACTTCGATTGTTTGAAACATTATCTAGCGGATTGTTATTTGGTGAAATCTCTACAATCTACGATTTAAAAGCAAGAGTTTGAAAAGTAAAAGGGTGGAAAACTCTTGGTGAGAAGCTTCACTCGGGTGTTGCTTCCCCCTAACTAACTACCATGAACCGTGGGATCGAATGAACCTGTGTGTAACGAGGCAATTGTGACCCATAGGAGGTGCAATAATGGTTAGAAACCATCCTCTCAATTGCTAGGCCAAGGTAAGCATCAGAGGCTACAATTGTAGCCCTCTTGGCCCAAGCAATTGAGGTTTGACTTACCTTCTCCCTCAACCCAAGGCTTGGACGGTATAATCACAATGAACCTAGGTGTCTAATTCAAATAGGGGTTTGCCCTTCATTAACCTAGTTAGGAGGCATGGAATGCCGAAGAAAACCCAGCTTAATTTTGAGCCTCTTAATTAGATAAGGGGGCTTCTCTCTAATCTAGGTTAGAATATCACAATAGATTGCCAAACAAACAATATGCACAATCACCATGAAAAATAACTCAATGCTTAAAGTAAACACCACCATCACACAATCATTCAATCCACACAATCATTTACATGATAGTAGTTAGGGTTCTATAACACCCAAGTGAAAAGGAAAACTACTCCATGCTAGACAAAAGAAGAACACAAAAGAGGAAGAAAGAAACCATCATTGAGATGCCTCCAACTCTCTCTGTGCTTGTAGAGATCCTCCAAAGAAGAGGAGCTTCCAAAATCTTCACTTGGAGCAAACACTAGTCTCTTCTCCCTCTTGGTTCGTGAATTTCTCTATCTAGGGTTTCAAGAAGAAGAATGTTTCTCTCACTTTGGGCTCCCCCTCTTCTTTCTTTCAGCTCTCCATTTATACTGAGGTCGTGACCAGTTCATGGCCCAAGTTCACGGCCGTGAACATCAGAAAACATCCATGAACTCAGTGAGTTGGATGCCAATGCACCGTTTCACTTCTAGGGTTCACGGTTTATGGTTCCAGTTCACGGTCTTAGTGACCGTGAACTGCCCTGGCGTTATAACCTCAAAAACCCCTCTGGACGCTATCTCTGTTCACGGTTTGTGGTTCCAATTCACGATACTGGCGACCGTGAACTCCAATGTCGGGCGGTGAACTCAGGCTAAATCCTCCTCTTTGCCCTGTCTTTGCTCCTTTTCTCCCAACTTTCGACTCCGGGGTTTGTTTCACCTATTAGACTCTGAAACACAAGGAAGCTAGCGTAAAACCGACCTTCATCCCAATACCTCTAACATCATGAGTACATAATCTGAAAAGCAAAAGGGACTTATGATTTATTACATAGAACAAGTACACTGCTCCCATATAAAGTATCTTCTAACATCATACAAATCCTTATATTTAGTTTACTGTAATTCAAATCCATCTTGCCCATGTAACAAAACAAAATGAAAATTTCCATTCACTATCACAAGTCACAACTACCAAAAATTATTCCTGTTGTTGAGAGCTTTGACAAAGATACTAACCTGCAGTTGACAGCAAAACTAGACAATCTTCCATAATGACAACTGGGCAGAACACGGACTGTAGTAAAATAAAAAGAAGACAAAAGATTGTAATGTTAGAATAATATTCATACCCGACAACAGAATCAACAGTAGGAGAGATTCAAAAAATCAAGAGAAACCATACCAATCCATAGGTTCAACCAATTCTATGATTCGCCAGTGTTATGTTCCTTTGGCAACACATCCATGGCTCGAGGTGGCACCTTTATTGCCAAGTGCCAGTTCTTATTAACATTGTCTTCTGCATAAAATACTTGGGACACTTGACTTGCTAGGACAAAGGGCTCATTTGTCTTCAACATTCTATTCAAGTTAACACTCACAAAACCATGTTCATCCACTTTCAACCCTTTTTGTCTTATCATAGACATCGCACCAATCACACCTAAACAAAGCTAATGATCTTCCTCCAAGAAATTTCAGCTCAATGACCTCTCTTAAAACCCCATAGTAGTCTATAGCATTCACATCGACTCCATCATCACCAACTACAACGACTCCATTATTTTGAGTACTCAAATTTTTGTCATAATCCTTTGTGTGAAAACGAAAACCATTTAGGACATAACCTGTATAACACTTGACACTTTGAGCAGGGCCTCGTGATAGTGACAATAGGTCATCCAATCTCTTACTTTTGTTATGTTCATAAGAGTTTGCAACCTGCAATAAAGGTTTTGATACAATTTAAGAACATAAAGTTAATAATAATAGTTCACTATGACATATATGCTAAACAAAAATCTATCAACAAACTAATAGAAGCTGTGCAAATTGAAATTATCGAGTCTTAGATATTAACTAGGAGGAAAGGAGCTTACTTTTTCCCTGACCCAAGAAATGAAGCTTGCATCATCCTCCTTATAGTTTCCTCCCAACAAATCATGCTCACAAAGATGACTAAATTCTCTACAATGTGCAATAACATAATTATAAATTAAGAAGCTTGAACAAACAAAGAGATAGTTAAAACAATAATGAAAACCCTTACTCGAAAAATGGTTGGGACAACACCATAAGTGACTAAATGTGCAGTTACTGTCGCACGTGTTCCTGACTTTCCATTGCAACACTTCACACATGGACATCTAATCTCCCTGCCCATACTCCTTTGGAATGCATAATCTAAAAAATCTGAAACTCCATGTTTATAATCTTCACTAAGTCTATTGTCGACAAGCATCCAAGTTTTGATTGGTGCCATTTCCTAAAACACTACATAAATGTCATAAACTACTGAACTTGTTCACAAGATAATACACATAAACCTAAAAATGCTTAGAGAGTAACAGAGTAGCATAACACACGCACCTGGATTTTCTAAGTTTGGCCGAGGAAGATTATTGCCTAATCAGTAGCCGACAGCAGCAGCATTCTGCTCCACAAAAGCTTAGCTCCTGTCCGATTGCAGCCCCTCTCCACAGCAGTAGCGTCGTTCCGCTCCACACAGCGGCACCACTTTTGTATGACAGCAGCCCTGCTCCACAGTAGCAGCGCCGCTCCTCCTGGACAGCAGCCTCCCGAGAACGCAGAAAAAGACCTCGAATTCAATGGAATGGAGCCATGAATCGAGAACACATAGTATGAGGAAAAGATGTGCTTTTCATATCAGGGCTGGTTATGAGAAGGGGGTGAAGGAACGTAGAGAAAGAAAGAAAGGGAAAGTGAAATTAGGTTAAGAACGAAGGGAATGGGAAAGGCTCGCATCGTACATGAGAAAGGGATAAAAAGAGATGTGAAAAAAGTGAAATTAGGTTAGAATGGGAAAGGCTCGCATAGTACATGTGAAAGGGAGAAAAGCAAGATGTGTAAAAAATTCAAAGTCATGGTTTGAACTCTGGCAATTAGAATTGTAAATTAACAACTTAACCACCAGGCTAAACACCAATTTACGGATATGTCTTGCTTAATAGTTAATTAATCTAAATTATAAAAAACGTCTCAAACCTTATTATCACAACTGTAAAATATAGTACTCCAATATCTTAATAAAAGGAAAAAAAATTACACCAACCTTGATGCAAATTATTCCATAAGAAAGCATATTTAAAAAGATGGTTAGATTGAAGGTTTAATTTTGCTAGAATGGTTAGAAATCATATTTCACAAGTGCAAAATGTGGGAATGAAAATCTGGGCAATGGATTGAGGTCCATGAGTTCATTGGTAAAATGGGATTGGGGTGCAGGACCATACTTCTCTATGCAATAATGTAACTTAACAAGCAGCAACATGCAGTTCTGAACTTTCAATTTTAATTTATAGAAGTTTGCACACTTTGTCCATAACACAAAATTAGTCAAAAGATTTCTAGTACTTATATATACTACATCAGTAGCTAGAGGAGATTATCATTCTCCTCATCATTAGTAGGAGGAGTTTTAGATACTTCTAATCATCCCAAAAACTAATCAACTATTACATGACACCCATCCAAAATCTACAACAAACATCTAAAACTCCTCAACGTCTAATCTAGATTTATATTTCATCTTCCCTCCAGAAGCAAAATCTTGGTGTCATGAATCACATCAAAGCCTACTCCACAATTCCATACCTGCCATAAGAAAGGATAGAATCAGTTTTGAGACACCAGCCGAAAATAAAGCATAAAAAAGAAGCACCACATTTGGACATAAGAGCAATTTTGATTAGTAAAGGATGCACACCTAAGGTTGACCATTTTGATTAGTTGTTGGGCTGCCAGACCTTTGGTTCATCCTTTCCATCATCTCTCTCATTTCAGAGATAACTTTAGCTTGCTCTGCTATTACAGCTGCCAGGTCTGCCTTCTCTCCATTTGATTCCCTTAGTTTGCTTGCCAATTCTGCCCTACTTAATGCATCTGGACCCTTCAAATCCTTAGGCCTCAATCCACCTCCAAACCCAATTATATGTCCATGTCTTTGTTCTCCATAACATATTTCTACCAACTCCATAGGCTCCAAGTCTGGATTAGCTTCACGTGTTTCAACAAGTACAGCCTATCAAAATCAAAGGGAGTTAGCAATCATAAACCATATTAGCAGTCATATGAACATAACTCGAAACTTGAATAACTAATATTACATGTCTTTCTTTTGCTGCTTGTTCTTTTATTTCACCATTGCTCTTGTGTGTCTCAAAAAACACTTTATCTATAGTCGGAGGAGTTCCATCTTTTCCACCCTAGAAACATGGTCAAATGGAACCAGAATCATTAACTTAAGCCAACCAGTAAGCCAAATAATCAAATCATTCACACTTAAGCCATCTAATCACATCAGCATTCTCATTCAAAGAAAATAAAGCAATACCTCTTCAAAATAACAGAACCATACACAGAAACAACACTTCTGCAAAATAACATGGTACACGGAAACAACATTTCAGCAAAATTGACAGAAGCAGAAACAGAGACAACACTTCTGCAAAATAGCACCATAGACAGGAAAACAATTCTGCAAAATAACAGAAGCAGAAATAGAACCATACAATTCTGCACTATAAATTAACAAGCTATATAAACAAACATGGCAGCAACATAAACACAAAATGGCAGCAACAGAAACAAACATAAACACATTCCATAAACAATTCTGCACTGCAAATTATGTCCTGCAGCTGCAAATGCAAGTTACAGATGTTACCATCTCATAAAAGTACTCTCGATTAGGCTTGCTACCACTATGATGATTCATAGTTTTTCATTCTATTCAATGCATTGTTTTTGCTCAATTTCTGCAGTGAAAGGAAAGAAATTAGAAAAACTCATTTAAATAAATCATACGAAATCAATATGAAAAATTTGTGTAACAACCTGGAACTCATTAGTGTAGAAAACGTTTGAAACACACCATTCCCAATCTTCTTTGTTACCTACTGCATCTGGCTTATTTTTCAGAGCCTCTTCTTCACAACCACATGGCTTTGCATACTCACGATACAAAACAGATCTCCATTTGTTCCATCGATCCCGCATATGAATTAGGGTATGATACTTGAAGTCTATCATATTGGGATTATAAAAATATTCCTGCAATTGTTATGATAATTAACTTTAGATCTCTTTAAACACTCCTCAAAATGATAACATGAAAAACTTGGCAGTTAAGAATCATAAGACACAATTGCAGGATGTTTCATACCGTAAGTGCAGCCCACATGTGCTCGAGTTCTGCCCGACTCTTGGACTTCCATCTTCTTGTTCTGAACGAACAAATCTGGGGGTTCCTAACAATCAAACCAATAAAGCTTGACCAAGTTGCTCTATTTGGTCCAGCAGCACGATTGTTGTAGAAGGCAATATGCAGCTTCTCACCACGCCTAAGTCTAGCAACGGCCTTACAGATGCTTTTCCCTCGTACATTTTTCGGTCTAACTGCAATTCCAAGAGGGTGCAAAACCCATCATCAACAAATCAACAAAACAAGCATATTCAATCCAACAATGAACTAAATACAGAATTTTAAACTTGCCTCTTTCAGTTGATTCTTCATTAGCAGCCAAGTTTGCAGCAGCTTCCAAGTTCGCAGCAGGTTCAACTTGTGCATCAACTTCCATGGTTGGTTCCTCTGGATGTACATGCATATTTCTCTCAACTGAGGGTTCCCTTGCCCTTTCTGGAACGTTATCAGTTACAACAGGGGGTTCTCTTGCCCTTTGAGGAGCTGCCAAATACAGTAAACAGTTAGTCATTTGCAGCAAAACAATGTGATAAAAAATTACAAGAGGTACCTACTAGATGAAGATATTAGGTTGGAAAACGAGGTGGGTCGATTTGGAACCCTCCTCCCAAGTGAGCCAGGGGCAACATATCTTGCTGGAGTTTTTTTGGTAACACCTTCACTCTCACGAGACTGACAAGAATTTTGAAGGTTTTGACCACCCTTCACCTTCAGGTTCTTGCTACGGTTCACCTTAACATTCTGACCACCCTTCATTATTTATTCTACAACAAAAAAACAAGAAGTTAAGGTAACTAACTACATCCGCAAATCAATGAACTATTGCAGAACAAGAAGATAACTACATCAGAGTACAAAAGACAGAATGAAATCGGAACCCCATAATGGAAATTGGAAACGATACGGTCACTTATAATCGATTCCAAACAGAACCCATATGTGAGAAATTTAATCGATCTCCAAATTTATGTACAAATAGAACCCCAAATCATGTTGTCGATCAATATGCATGCGATTAAAACATATATAGAATGAGAGGAGATTAAAGAGAGACAGGGACAAGATTGGTCTCGTACATACCTCAGCTACAAGCTTGAGGGAAGGAATTCAGAAAGTAAAGGATCGGAAGTGGAAGACTGCAGGGCAGGGGAAGAACGAAGAGAGAGCGCTTCGTTTTCTTTTTGGTACTAAGAGCTCCGTTTTTTTAATTGGAAAAGGAGAGCTTCGTTTTTTTAAATTGGGAACGCAAAGTGAAAGCTTCTTTTTTTATTGCATTCTCGTTTTTATAGCTAAAGCAATAGCGGGAGAACCCCCAAATTTCAGGATGTATTGGAGCCAAAATTTTCGGGATTCACTGGAGCCTAAATTTTTGGACTTGAAGCCAAAATTTAGGAGGGAAGTTTTAGCATTTGCCGGCGGGAAGAAATTGCTGGAGTTATGGGACTTTTGGACAAATCAATTTTCAAGGACTAGTTTCATTAGGTTATTAATTAGGCAGCAAATTTTGTCCACGTTTTTTCTTTCATCCATAAATATTTTAATTCATTTTAGTTGTTAGTTGGTTCACAGCAAAATTTTAAATCACATTTTAATTCATTTCATTCATTTTTAATTCATCTTAATTTTAATTTTTGTTTTGGAAAGACAAATTGACACATTGTTCATGGTGATTAACCGTGAGTAATAATTCCTCACATTGTTCACGGTAATTAACCGTGACTAACAATTAATCACGGTAAACAAAGACTAAAAATTTGTTAGACTAATTACCGTGACTGGAATTATACAATCAATTACAGGAATATTAACCGTGATCATTAATACACTTCTTAGTATGGTAAAACTTCCCGGGAAAAAGATCCCGTGACTAGAAATCTGTTTTCCTGTAGTGGATAGTCTATTAGGTTTTTCTAGTCTTTCGCTATAAATATGTAATTGGTCCTTCATTCGTAATCAGGCCATATTAGGATAGTCTATTAGGTTTTTCTAGTCTTTCGCTATAAATATGTAATTGGTCCTTCATTCGTAATCAGTCAAGAAGAATATTAAGAAACCCTTTCCTAAACCCTATTCTACCAATCCTCTCAATTCTCGTTCCCAATCCCTCTAAAGGCCTAGGCCGATTCTCTATCTTTCTCTTCTCAAATCCCTAAATCTGTTCTTAATCCCTAAATCCCCAATTCCCGATAGAACCCTAATCCCAGGTTCTATCACATCCATATCAGCCGATTAGACATTTGTGTACTCACACATCGATGGAATGGTAAGTGCATTCAGATCAGATGTACCATTCACCAAATTCAATTTGTGGTGAAATTGTTTCGTCATACTTTGGAGAAACCTGAGCCAAGGTTTTCCTTTGTGTATGTACTATGGATGGCTGGCTAATCCCCATACGCTACATAATCTTTCTGGGTTATCTAGTTTGGTTTTCCTGATGTGCTGCAATAACCAATCCCCAATAATTCTGAGTGGCCTGAAACCTGATTGAAAGAGAGATGTCGATGCAAGTTGTGCGTTAAAAATGCCATGAAATGGAAAGGAACAATCTTTTACTTATGTTAACCTTAAAAGTTTAACGTTAAAGATGACTTTGTATATAGCCAGGCTGGTGCTGAACTTTTCATTTGTGTGTGTCATTTACTACGCCATCTTGGTATCCAAATAAAGAGTAACTGTGGCTCTACCCACCAGTTTACTTTTCTTTTAAATTGCAAATTTATGACTTTCTGTAGATGCATTTAATTAGAGGAGACTAGCGTATTTTAATGGTTGTATTGCGGTTTCCGTATGCCCTATTGTTCACTGAATCACTGTAGTTCTCACTGCTTGATGCTTCTCTTTGAAGTCTCATTTACCCCTAGCTTCCTTCTTTCCACTGTCTTCCCTGAAAAGGATTAATATTTATTGTTGCATCGTGCATTGCTGGTTGCAATTTCATACCATTCTTATTATTATTAAGAAGGGGGACCCATAACTTTACTCTCTTCCTTAAGTGGCTGTACTATTATTTTTTGTTTTCTGAATAGGCAAAATACAGCGGTATATCCACAACTATTAGGTTTGTGACAAATATATCCATAATTATCGAAATACACGAAATATCCATTTCCGTCCACTCCGTTAATTCCGTCCGTTAACTTGATGACCGGACAGACGGTGGATTCTTAGTTGGCGTGCTTCTGGCCCCACTAAATGACGTGGATTAAAAGAGAGAAAAAAATTAGGCAAAATACAGTTGTATATCCATAACTATCAGGTTTGTGACAAATATATCCACGACTATCGAAATACACGAAATATCCAAAAATCGGAAGGTTGTGTAACAAATCTATCCACTTTCGTCCGAAACTATAACGGCATGTCAGATGGCGTTAAATTGACTAACAAAATGTTGAATCGATGCCATCTCACCAGCCATAAGCCAAAAAGCAACCAAACTTTACACCGTTATCTGTTAGATCTCGATGCTGTAGTCTTCTCTGTTGGCGATTTGGTTAGATTCAAACTTGGTATCACCATGGCACCGACTGCATGGAAGCCGTCGGAGTAAAAGGGAGGCAATGGTTGGGGATTGTGGTTGGAATCAAAATCTGGGCTTGGGATAGGGTTATTTGGGGGTGGAGGCGTCGATCGGAGGAGGATTAGTGGTTATCGGGCGTGTTTCTAGGTTGGATTTTTAGTCTCGCTGTCTGTGGTTTTAGGATTTTTAAGTTTTTCTCTTTTAATCCACGTCATTCAGTGGGGTCAGAAACACGTCAACTAAGCATCCACTGTTTGTCCAGTCATCAAGTTAACTGACGGAGTTAACGGAGTGGACGAAAATGGATATTTCGTGTATTTCGATAGTTGTGGATATATTTGTCACAAATCTGATAGTGGTGGATATATTTGTCACAAACCTGATAGTTGTGGATATATAGCTGTATTTTGCCTTTATTCAACTTGCTTATTTGGCATCTACGTGTAAAGTTTGGTTGCTTTTTGGCTTATGTGGCAGGT